AATCGGCAACCAACAGAATGGGAAAAAATTTTTGCAGTTTACCCACCTGACAAAGGGCTGCTATCCAGAATTCAAAAATAACTAAAACAGATTTACAAGAAAAAAACAAGCCCATTCAAAAGTGGGTGAAGGATATGAACAGACACTTTACAAAAGAAGACATACATGAGGCCAACAAACATATGAAAAAATGCTCATCATCACTGGTCATTAGAGAAATGCAAATCAAAACTGCGTTGCGATACCATCTCATGCCAGTTGGAATGACGATCATTAAAAAATCTAGAGACAACAGATGCTGGAGGGGATGTGGAGAAATAGGAACAGTTTTACACTGTTGGTGGGAGTGTAAATTAGTTCAATCATTGTGGAAGACAGTGTGGCAATTCCTTAAGGTCCTAGAAATAGAAATTCCATCTGACCCAGCAATCCCATTACTGGGTATATATCCAAAGGATTACAAATTGTTCTACTATAATGACACATGTACACGAATGTTCATTGCAGCACTGTTTACAATAGCAAAGACCTGGAAGCAACCCTAATGCCCATCGATGATAGACTGGACAGGGAAAATGTGACACATATACACCCTGGAATATTATGCAGCCCTCAAAAACGATGAGTTTGGGTCCTTTGTAGGGACATGGATGAACCTGGAAACCATCATTCTCAGCAAACTGACACAAGAGCAGAAAATCAAAAACCGCATGTTCTCACTCATAGGCGGGTGTTGAACAATGAGAATACATGGACACAGGGAGGGGAGCACTACACACTGGGGTCTGTTGGGGGAAAATAAGGGAGGGACAGTGGGGGGTGGGGAGTTGGAGAGAGATAGGATGGGGAGAAACGCCAGATATAGGTGAAGGGGAGGAAGGCAGCAAATCACACTGCCATGTGTATACCTATGCAACAATCTTGCATGTTCTTCAAATGTACCCCAAAACCTAAAATGCAATTAAAAAAAGAAAAAAATAAAAAACAGAAGTACCATTTGACTCAGCAATCCCATTACTGAGGATATACCTGAAGACATGTAAATAATTCTATCATAAATAAACATGCATATGCATGTTTGTTGCAGCACTAGTCATGATAGCAAAGACATGGAATCAACTTAAATGCCCATCAGTGATAGACTGGATAAAGAAAACATGGTACATATATACCATGAAATACTATCCAGTCATAAACAAGCATGGGATCATGTCCTTCGTGGGGACATGGATGGAGCAGGAGGCAATTATCTTTAGCAAACTAATACGAGAACAGAAAACAAAGTACTGCAAGTTCTCACTTATAAGTGGGAGCTAAATAATGAGAATATAGGGACACAAACAGGTGAACCACACACACTGGCCTTTTAAAGGGTAGAGGGTGGGAGGAGGGAGAGGATCCAGAAAAATAGCTAATGAGTACTAGGCTTAACACCTGAGTGACAAAATAATCTGTACAACAAACCCCCACAATACAAGTTTACCTATACAGCAAAACTGTACATGTAGCCTATCCCTGAAATTTAAAGTTCAATAATAAAGAAGAAAGATCAGTACCAACAGTATGGAGTTGGAAGCAATAAGCAGCCACAAAACATGGACAAACTGTGCTCCTATTTATGTACATCTGTTCATAAATCAGAGGTTGTAAATCTGTGGGCTGTATCTGGCTTACAAATGTCTTATATGGCCTAGGAGCATTTCTAAAAATTTAGAATTCATAGCTAATGTCTTAAAGTCAGAAGCTTTGGGGGGAAAGCTGGATTTGGTGCTAGGCTTAAGAAATTGAAGCATCTGACAATGCTGGGGGCCTCTGCATTCCCAGGAAGCAGCAATTCCTGGGAACAAGGTTGTGGTACCCCCTACAGACAGGGCACGTACTTCAAACAACATCTGCTTAGCATATTTATAGTACCTTTTGATCATTCTAGTATTTGGGTTCTGTATCTCCCTCCCTTGCCAGTGAAGGTGCACCAAGAACCTAAATTTTGCACACTGAACCACTCACTTGAAGGAAAGGTAAGCTGTGAGGGGGGGATTCTGGTTTATAAACTTACATATTACTCATCTTTTGTGGAAGGCAGTATTGCTTGTGTAAGATAAAACTGTAAATACTGGGGAGGAAAAAATAGAACCGGTAGGCAATATTTGGCCTACGTCTAGGAGGATGGCTACAGTTTGAGCATTTGGGGATGCAGATAGAACATGCTGCGAAAAGGAGATGCTCTTAGTAAAGGCTCTCCCAGAGACTCATGTTATTTCCTTTCTACCCTGTGACTTCACTTTATAACACAGCCACAACGTTCATGTACACTGGGAAACACACATAAAATGGTTTGCCCAGAAAACCTACAGAGTCCATATGGCTCTGTCTAATAACCCCAAAGGATCTCCCCTTTTCCCTAAGAAAAATGCCCACAAACTGTTCCTCTTAGGCTTCAAGGGGCCTCTTATCAGCCAAAGGAGAGTTTTAGCCTCAGTTTTAGGAATTTAGAGATTATATAGGTGGGAAAAAAAATCTCTGAAAAGAAGCCTAGGTTGAAATTTGGGGGAAGAGAAGAAAGAGAGATGAAAGAAATAGAATTGTGATATGCCCAATGGTTTTGACTTTGACTGAGGTTGCTATAGACCTCAGTTTCCACATCTGTAAAATAAGGAAAATGAATTTAGGTTCTTTTAAACACATTAAAGCTCTAAAATTGGGTTTTGGTTTCTTGATTGACCCATCTGGGAAATTACAAATGCAGTTCAAGTGGCTTAATGTTGCCTGTCTTTCATGAATTTTATAAAAGTTCTTATTTCAGGAGATGGACAGAGCTCTCAGATAGTACCATCTTTCCAAAGATTGACTGAAGCTGTTATCACAGAGATTATTCCAATAGAGGTGCATTCTCCTGGTCTGTTTGAATTCTGCAGCCGAGTAGCGTAATAAGATCTTGCATGTGTATGGCAATTTTTACATTTCTAAAGTGCTATCCATTTCTGTTCTGAATTTTATACTGACATCAATACTATAATGTAGGCAAAGCAGGAATTTTAAAAATCACATTTGAACAATGGGAAAACTTGGACTTGAGTTGCTCTCAGAGAAGCAGCAATGGCGTACATACTCAACAGGGCGTTTTAGAGCTGACTCTGTCTCTAAGCTTAACTGTTAGAAGACTGGCTTTGGGCAAGTCTTCTTAACTTTGTGATTTTGGGCAAGTTCCTTAAGCTCCTGGCGTCTCAATTTCATTATCTGTTCACTGGAGATAAATATTCACCTGCAAGATTACATGAGATGATGTATAAGTTAGGTTACAAAAAGCTAGATTTGCCTGCCAGCATTCATCTTGTATGAGATGGAGACAAACGATGAATTTTGGAGAGTTATATGTGAGGTAAATAGAACTAAAGAGAATTTGGAGATGATAATGAGGGATAAAGAACTGTTACCAATAGCCCCTTTATTTCTGATAATACCATTCTCTGAGAGAGTGGACATTGGAGGGGGTCTGGGACAGGCTTGATACAGAAGGAGAGAAGTTGGAGTTTGGCTCTGGACAGCTGATTTTCAATACCTTTGATACATTTAAAAGGTGGTGTCTAAAGGGCAGACTTCAGGACTATAGATGCTGGATTTGCTTGTCTCCTTGCCTGCTTGCTTGTTTTTAACACTTGCTCTAATATGTTTGAAATGTCTCAATGAAATTAGAACCAGTGTATTAGGATGTTACCCTGAGTGATTCTTGGGGCTAGTTACCTACACATCATTTTGGAGCCCAGTATTTCCCAAAGTAGTCAGGGTACTATTCACTGACATATTATCTGCAAGAAAAAGAAAATCACAGTACAATATATTAAAGATATACAGTACAGCTGCCTTCCATCTCCCCTTCCCCAAGATTGACAGGAACATATTAAAAGCATTCAGAAGTATGGTCCTAAGGCAAGCTTGTTTAATTTTAAACTCAAAGCCTATCTATCTTATTAGACCAAAGAACCCCGCTTTTTCCCCTATGTCTTTCTAATTGATAGCCTGTAAATCTGGTTTTATGGAATAGATTTCAAAGTGTTTTTATGCATCCAAGGAGGAAACAGAGACCTTGAGAAGATCTATGCCTTGCCTGAGGTTCCTTGGTATCTTGTCAGGCTGGAACCCAGTGTTCCTAGCTACTGTCCTATATTCTAACTGCCTCCTGTCCTGCAAAAAAAAAAAAAAAAAAAAGAGGCTAGACAACAGTCAAATCCAGTACTCATTCTTCACCAGGCACTGCAATTGCAATGCACCTCCTCAAATTGCCCTCACCCTGTTGCCTGCTTAACAGATCCAGAAAACAATCCAATCCATGTTTTATAACATAGGTTAACTCTCTTGACACACCTATTATTGGAGGTTATCAAATCATTCCACCAACCTTAATGAATTCTTACAATGCTTCTACAGAAGACATTAAGAGAACATTTTACTAGTGTGACTCTCTGGCGATGTTTTAATGAGGGTATTGATAACCTCTTGCTACACACATCTTCAAGTGAATTCTTATGTAAGAAAATAACTTGTTTGGTTCTGCTATTACTCTATATACGTACACATGCAAAATGCCCCATTCATCCCAACCAAAAAGTCTTTTATTTCTGTAGCATCTTATTGTTTAAAAAGTTCCTACATGTCCATTACTAACTCTTTCCTGACACAACCCTAGAAGTATGCAGAGGTGGACAGCCGCCCTCGGTTTACAAAGCAGGGGATTGGCATCTGACAAAACTAGTGTCCTTCCCAAAGACCAAGCAAGAGTCAGAATTCATATCCAGATGTCATTCATTCCTACTAGTCTCAAGCTCTATGCTGAGTGTGGGCAAGTACACCAGAAAACTAGATAAATATGATGTCTGCTGTCATGGGTTTAGATAGAGTTCAGTAAAGGGGACAGAAAATAGAAAATAAAATATTGTAACCGGTCATGGGACGAGACTCAGCATGTACCCTGAGGTTCTTGGGCTCCCTGGCCCCAGGAATGGGGAAGAGGCCCTGGTGGCACAGTGAGCTTACTGGTTAAGTAAATATTGGACCCAAAGGATTTTGCAGAGAGCAATTTATTTGGCAGAGAGAGAGAAAGAGAGTGAAGTAGAGAGAGCTACAGCACTGTTGTGGGAGGGGATCCCAGAGAGGGAAATCCACACAGGTAAGGGGCAGTGGGGTTTTAACTTTGAAGTTATTCCAGCCCCATTCATGTTTTTGTCCCATGAGAGTAGTTCTCTCAAATTTCCTCTGGAGTGATTGATCTTTGACTCTGATTCCAGATTGGTTGCTTGGGCCCACAACAGAGCCCCTCCTTCCAGGGCTTTTGGCAGGTTTTCTGAACAAAGAAACTCACCTGGAATTTTACCTAGCCCACACGCAAGAAAGTTAGACAACAAAGAACTTTAGGTTCCTGGATGGGGAGGTGCATGAAGGCGTGGCGCTGGGAAGATCTTGCCTTTGAAACCACTCCCCTGTGGACCCAGGAAGAGAACTTAACATAGTCCCTCATTGTGACACTTTCTGAAAACTGCCTTGAAAGAAACAAATAGGAGAAATGTTTTTCCCACAGATGTTCAGAGTCTTACTCCCTGACTTCGTTTGGGTGTCTGCTTAAATCACTTCAGAGCCAAGGGGACTATGCTCTCCATCAGAGCACTGGTAAGAACTGAAGCGTATTTTGTTTGGTAGGAAAAAGAGGACCCAAGAGGACCCCAAAAGGAGAAGATGGAGGCCTAAAGTCATCATAGAGAAATTATAAGATTTGGCTCTTTTTCTAGATTATTCTTTCCAAATCCCAAATTGTCTCAGGACAGCACATGATTTGAGATAGAAAAAAAGAGAAAGGGACTAACTAAAAGTCCTGCCTGTGGCTAATTCTTTCTCCAAGAAGAAAAGATGTGTGTCTTCGTGTCAGTATGGAGAGCCCAAACATCACAGAAAGAGTAGAAACACAACCTCTTTAGAGGACGCTAAAGACAAGTAAATTACATCATCTTTCCAACCTGTAACCTTTTCAGATTCTGTGTCTGGAAATACCCTGGACCCCAGTCCTGACACCACTCACATTCCTTGCATCACCATAGCAACTTTTAGGGGCTGCATCCTCAATCACATGGCAAACTAATTGAACTGTACAACTTATTTTGCAGCTGGTGAATGTAAAAGTGAATCTTACATTTAATCATACTTGCTGCGTTGACATTCAAATCAAAAGGCTTTGTTAGGGCTCCTGGAAAATGAAGTGTCATTTTGCCAGCACAATGTTTCACTCAGAGGCACATCCTTCCCGCTTTGAAGTGCTAAGTGAATGGTAAAGAGAAAAGCTTTTTGGTTTAGGAGTGGGGAAGGGTGGGGAGGGGGAAAGGAAGGAACAAAATCTGGATGAATTACAGGAAAATGAATAAATGTCATTAAATCAAATTTGAGTTCATCGCAAATGCTGTACGAAATACTTCTCCTGTGATTTTTCTTTCTTTTTTCTTTTAAAGAGGCAGTAACATTTACAGAGAGGGCTTTGGAATCACAGACCTACTCTGTACTCCCTAGTTCTGAGATCTCAGGCAAGTCACTTAATTCCTGATAACTTGAATTTTCTTGCGTATAAATTGTAACTAAATTAATACTCACCCTACAGGTATTTCTAGGATAAGTAAAGTATATATAAGCCTTTAGCATAGTATCTGACACAGAGTAGACCCTCCTTGTCATTTTCCTTCCAAAGCTTGGATCATAGTATTTGGCTAATCATGTGCCAGCACTGAGCACAGCAGACAGTGAATGGGTACGCTATGTGCCTGGTTTCGTGTAATCATAAAACCAGCTCTAGCACATAGGTATTGTTATCCCCATTTTACAGGCAGAAGACACTGAGGTTTAGAGAGGTTGGTAGTGATTAAAAATTATTGAAAACTGAGAATTGAGAGAAAAGTATAACCACACATTCTTTCAGTACTGGAACTCTAATGGTCTCACCCAAGGTTTATCTGATTCTTAAGGGGAATGGACTTCATTTGGCTTCTAATTAAGCTCGGATTATTTCATGCAAGATGTTAATTTGTAAAAGATAAATCACAAATGACTTCTGTCTGGTAGAGAGCAAATTATTTCTCTCTACTAGAAAAGATAACCCCAAAACTATGTTTTCACTGGCATGTAAAGTATTAACTACCTTTGTATATAACTTACCCATCTTATTTCCATGGTTTTTTTTTTTTTTTTTTTTTTTTTCAGTGACTCCATATAGAACTCTCAGATCCTTCTTTGAGCTTTGTCATCTTCTGGTTACTTCATTAGTAAGATAATAAATCTCTAATGTTGTTCATTCTATATTTGTATGAAAGTCATGGCTTTTTAAATTTTTATTTTTGAAAATTATACTTGGATAATTTGTACAAGGATCATCAAGCTAGGAAAGAGTACAGCCTAATTTGTCTGGCTTTCCTCAAGGAGCAACAAGAAAGACAGCTAATTCTGCCATGATTTAGCACAGTATGCACTGCAGTCGCTGGGTATTGGTACAGGGTTATACAAGCTCTAAGGAGTAATACTTCTGTTTCCTATTTGCAGGGAGTAAGAACAGTGGACGAGGACGTCACAAGAGAGGAGACATTTAAGGAAGCATTAAATCATGAGTGGATTTCTCTGATTCTCATCATATGTGGAAGAATGATCTCCAAGAGTTATTGAGTATTAAAAAAATAGAATAACAACAATAGCCGTGGTAATGATACTTAATTGTTTTATAATTCTTACCTAACAGATGCTTTACAAAACCCCTATGAGGTAGGCTATTTCCATTTTCAGATGAAACGGAGGCACAAAAGAGCTTAAGTGGCTTAAGGACACCAAGCAGGCCAGTACAGAACTGGATGTTGAGCCGATGCCCCAGCTCCTGGGCCCATGTTCCTCTGCACCTTTCCTGCCTCTGTCTTAATATGTTCACTAAGATTTCTAGCCCTTGGCCTTGGGGGGCATACAATCTCTGGCTTAGTTCGTTGGCTTCCTGCTTGACATATGAGGAGCCCTTGGAAGCTTGAAATGTGTAAATGACTTGTCAGCTAGGAAGAGGTTAAAAGAGGAGATTTTGAGATGAGTGTCTTTCCCTTTAAGACACTACATTGTTCTTTTTTCTGGCTAGGCTATTGCTGACTACCTTTCTAACCCTTCTTAGCTGTCCTTTTGCACCTGGTCATGGTGCTATGTGGAGAGAAGGATAAATGGTCTTCCCTGCGTCATCCCTCATGGGGAGATATGATACAATACAGGGCTGTGCGTTACCGGCACAAAATAACAGAGGGCAACTGGAAGAGGAAGGGTGAGAGAAACTATAGGATTTAGCCTCACTCATGGTGCACAGCCAATAATTTCATTCTCCAGGCTTTATGAGGATGATTTATTTCTTACCTTATCTATTAGCCACCCTCACAGCATCATTTCTGAAAGTCCTCCTTGTGTCTACAGTGCTATCCTTGCAGAAGATGAGAGAGGGCTGGGCCATCCATCCTGCCACAGAATTAGGTGATGGAGTGAGCACTGGGTCAGCAATCAAGAGACCAGAGGTCTGGTCCTAGCTCTGCATCTGAGTTGCTATGTGGCCTTGGTTGACCCTGTGCGACCCTGTGCTATGTGACCCTGTGCCTCTCTTTCCTCATTTGTGCACTAAGCAGGTTGGACTGGCATGCTATGATTCAGGAAATATATTTTTGCAGTCTGACAGAAGAAAATGTTACCAGTAAGGAGACTCAGTGACGAGGAACCCCATACACCCCCTCACACACACGCACACACACACACACACACACACACTGAGAGGAGGCAACCACGTGGCATTGAAGGAGCTGTCAAACCTCTTCTAACTTGGGACAGAGGTGTAGCCTGCTATAAACAGAAAGAGCATTCGGGAAACAGATGGATGGGAAGGCCCAAGTGAGAAGATCCTGAGCAAGCGGGCTCTGTGCTGATATGTTATATTCAGATGTCACCAGTGAAAAGGCATAGGGAATGAGCAGTTGCTTCATGATGAAACCATTCTTGCCAACTTCGCACACCGAAAGTGAGGGACTGGGAGAAGAGGGTCCAATTCAAGACATGCTGCCTCTCTCAACCCCTCCTGATACTCCCTTGCCCTGACATTCCTGTCTACCCTTTCCCTCCTGCCATGGGGAAACAGAAGATAAGAGTCTCGGCCTAGACTTGGTCCTGTCAGGAATTAACTGGGTGGTTGAGTAAAGCCTGTTCTTTCTTTGGGTCTCAGTTTGCTTCTCTGTAAATCAGAGGTGACATAAATAATGGCTTGTCGCTATAGAACATTTATGTGGCAGACAACGTGTTGTCTCTTGTGATACTTAGAAGTTCCTAAGAGATGGTTTCATCCTCTTGACAGATGAGAAAACTGACACCCTAGTTAAGTGATTTGTACATGGCCAGGCATCTAGGAAGTGGTTTTCTGACTGTGGAGTCTGTACTTTCTCCCAAGATAAAGACACAAGCTACCTACCTCCCTCTACCCCGATGCCTTCACTACCCCCTGATGAGATGCTTTACCAATCATCCATCCCAGCCCTCTGATTCTAACTGACTTCAGAAAGACTATAGTTGATTAACCTCTCTCCCTTTCATCCCACTACAGTCTGTTCCCACCACAGAAGCTCAAGTGATCTTTCATATGTTTTAATTATAACATTCCCCAGATTAAGCCCTCTCATGGTTTCCCAACTCACTCCTGTAAATATAAACCCTTACTATGGTCTTCAAAGCCCTATGTGGTCTGGATTCTTGCCATTTTTCCACCTTCATTTCTTCTCTTTCTTTTGATTATTATGTTTCAGCCACTCTGGTCTTTTTGCTTTGCCAGAACACTAAACTCAGCTTGCACCAGCCTCGAGACCTTTGCACTTGCTATTCTCTCTGTCTGGAAAGCTTTTCTCCTAGATATTTAAGTAGCACCTCCTTTCATTCAGATACTATTCAAATGATCTATTCTAAATCTTCAAATAGGTGTTGCTGACTACATATCTAAAGTGATGACTTTCTCCCCTCCTATTGGTCTGTTTATACCCTATTTTTCCTTGTTAAATATTTATCACTGAGTGAAATTAAAGTATCTATCTGTTGCTTTATCCCTTTATCTCTCTTCCCTATAATAGGTCCTGTTTGATCAAGGACTTTGTTTATCACTGTGTCCTCAGCCCTCTGGCAGTGCCCTCCACAAAAGAGAAATCCAATAAAGTGTTGAATTAATGAGAATTCATCATTATTATACCTTTTCCTTGTTAAACACAGTCATTTATAGTGGGGTTTCACTGCAATAATTTGATTTACTCAACAAAACAAGTGATAGTAACAAGAGATAGGGCTTTGGCAGCTGTCTTTGGAAGGAAGGCACATTTGGATGTCTAGCTCTGGAAAAATGGAGGAGGTCTTCTGACTCAAGGGTCTGTGCATTCATTGAGAAAAGAACAATAAACTCTGACACTAAACTCCAGCATCAGGACTCAGGCTGACCCATTTGACCTTTCAAAGTAATGGCTTAGGACCAGGCACAGTGGTTCATGCCTGTAATCCCAGAACTTTGGGAGGCTGAGGCAGGCAGACCACCTGAGGTCAGGAGTTCAAGACCAGCCTAGCCAAAATGGTAAAACCCAGTCTCTACTAAAAATACAAAAAAATTAGCTGAGTATGGTGGCACATGCCTATAAACCCAGCTATTCTGGAGACTGAGAAAGAAGGGTCACTTGAACCCAGGAGGCAGAGGTTGCAGTGGGCCAAGATCACACCACTGCACTCTGACCTAGGCGACAGATCAAGACTTTATCTCAAAAAAAAAAAAAAAAGAAAGAAAGAAAAGTAATGGTTTAGTTTCTCAAGACCTGTTGCTATCTAGAGTTATTGAGCAGTTTACATACATCATCTCCACTACCAAATTTTTGGAGAAATGCTATTTCGATTTTATTGGCTGTTTTTGTTAACAAAACATAAAACCCTTCAACATTTTTGCTTCTTCAAAACCCTGTCTAAAGCACCCAGATGCAACACCCTGTGAAATAAGTAAAGTGTATCTTTCTTTCCTGCCCCCGGGCTTGGCCTGTGAGCCCCAAGTCCTTGTGTTTAGGATTAGAAATGCTGATCTTAGGGATCCCCAGAAGATAGTCAATCTTGAATAACTGGTAAGTCTATGATCATTTCCTGCAAATAGATAGATATAGAATTGGGGAAAGTAAGAGAGAGTGCACTGCCTTCCAGTTCCTTTGTAAAGCTTCCTTAAAGCTAAGCTAAATTCACAAGGTCACCTGTGAATTTCTTGAATTTGCTACCTATTTCCCCAAAAACTTAGGAACGGGTTCTAACTAATAATATTAACTTATTCTCTGGATAAATTCATGAGAATTAGGTTTAATAGTACCCACCCGGTTGTCAGAATTATTTTCTTTTCTCATGGCACTGTATAGCCTGACTCTAGAGGGTATGTGTCACACTCTGATGCATCAGACTCTTCCATCACTGGAAGAAAACTCCTAAAGACGAGACTTTATCTTGCTTATGTCACCTCTGGTCTTAACCCTAGGTCTGGCACAAAGCAGGTGATAGATCAATATTCATTTAATGGATGAATAAATAAGGCAAAAGAGTAGAGTAACCCAATTCAACTTTCTTCTACTTCTACTTGGTTGAATGTTATGTTTCCTAACATAAAACTTCTCATCTCTCCATTGGTTCTCAACAGTCAAACCTAACTATGAGAAGCAGCAAAGAGTATTATTTTCTTTTCACAAACAGCACAATGGAGGCTCACAATGATTTTATAATTTTTCTGAATTCCTCCAGCCAAGGTGCATCAGAGCAGAGCCTTGCACACAAGCCTGCTGGCTGCCCAGCCCAGACTCATAAATGGGATGTGGCTCTTGACTGGACAAGTAGGCAGGAGTGCTGTGAGCCTTAAACTGTAAGCATTCACTACCACAGGAGACAGGTTCAAAGCCCAATACCTGAGAAGCCATGGGCCCTGCTGCTCTTGTCCTTTTGCCTCTCCTTTTCATCTCTTTTCTCTTCCTTACACCACTAGGGTTTTCCAGAGTCTGGGAGCCTTTGACATTAAAGCACCTTATAAAATCTTACACACTAACAATACAAAATATTCATTTGTTGAGCCCCAATGGTGTACCAAGGTATACAGCATGGCACTCAGGCTCTGGATTCAGACAGCCTAGGTTCAAATCTCAACTCTGCCATGTATCTGGGTACCTCAGTTTTCTCATCTGTAAAATGGGAATGCTGAGAGTCCATGCTTCATAAGGTAGTCAGTAGGATGAAATGAGGCCGTGCATGTAAAGACATGTAGAACTGTGCCTGACATGTGTCCATACCTCTCATTTTATCCTCACAATCACCCTAGGAAGTGGATTATAATTAACCCATTTTATAGATGAGGCTTAGAAACATTAAGCAGCTATTTTAACAGAGCTCTCTCTGCTGACCGCTGGTAGAAGTAATATTCAAATGCAGAGCTACGTGATCCCAAAGCCCTGGCCCTTATCCACAATGCTCTCTACACAGCTACGTACCTGCATCTGCTGCTTCTCAAAGGGCCCTGGCATCTTGAAAGAGCATGCTGCAGAGCAGGCTGAACCCAAACAGTTCAGTCCTCAAGGTGAATTCACAGGTCAATGTCACCAGGTGTTGCAAACCTTTTTAGGAGCAGGAAGAAAGTGTCCTTTCAGGCTTTTGGGGAGCAGGGAGAGAGTGTCCTTCCCACCTATTAGAGACAGCCTGCTGACACCCCCTCCAGGCTCACCTGAGGTGCACCAGCATTTGCTAATACCTGCTTTCCCCAGGCCTTCATCCTGTTCACCCACAGTTCTTCCCAATTAGATGACTAACAGGCATGCTCCATTACTTAGAAGGGAAGCTTCATTGTAAAACTTGCTCAGGTGAAGGCAGTTCCCTGAGGTTGCTAGCATGCTGTCCTCAGGACCAACTCCCTGCAAGCCTGAAGAAATGGGAACTCTGATTATTCCTGAAGCTTCGATTATTCCTGAGAGAACTGGCTACCCCCATGGTCCCTTGTTCTTCACTACCTTACAGGTTACTCTCTTCCTGGAGGGAGATTGGTAATTCCCTCTGGAAACACGAAGCAGCCTTCTAGAGAGCCTTTCTAAGGAAGTGATGAAATATCACATGGAGTGTGCACCAGAAGATTTATAAAGGCAGTGAACTCAATTTCGTTCACTTTAAAATGAAATGAACTTACCTTAACACATTGAAGCAGACAAATGCGTCTTTCATGGGTGGAACTGTAACCAGGAGGCAGGAATAGCAGATTTGTGGCCAGAAATTTCTCCCCAGTTTGTGCTCAGGAAAGCAGAAATTTGGGATCACGGAAGGGGCAGCAGGCTAAGTACCAGGTGAGCCTCCTTATCCCCCAGGACCTCTTCCTGCCTTGGTCAGAGCTCCTCAGATTAATCACACACTCCTTCCCTAAGGCTAGCATCAGATCCATCCCTAGCTTCCCTTTCCAGCACTATCTCCACACTCTCTCCTTCAACCTTCAAGCATTCCAGCACACTCTCTGAATTCCAAATCAATGTCAGATTTATCACTTCTGGCCTTTAATCCTTCCTCTTAATTCCCACTTCTCCCAGATGTCTGATCTCACAGACTCCTGCTTAAGAGCCTTTTTCTCTCCTCCAAGCTAGAAGGGATCATCTCATCCTCCAGACTCAGAATAGCAATTTATCTTTACTGCTCTTGGTGTCCTCCTTACTGTCTATCTTGCAGGTGAAGGGACGGCCCCAAGGTCATAAAGCAACTCGAAGCCAGGTCTTTTGACTTTCTCTCCTGTGATCTTTGTATTGCTTCATCCTTCCTCTCAAACTTGAGAAGGCAAAATCTGAAGTCAGAACAGAAGCAAAAGGAGGCAGCTTTGTTTCTTACATTAGTTGCTAAAGAGGCTACAAAAAAGCAGTTGCCTAAGCCACAGAAGTCTTGTTTAGCAGTGAGGAACACAGGGAGTCACTCAGTATGTTTTTGTTTGTGCACATAGGTGGAGCTCTTTTGTCTACCTCTGACAGGAAGGTATCCCTGACTACCGTTCCCCCGGGAGCGTCTATGAGGATGCACATATCTCATTGAAAATATAAGGAGATAAAGAAAATTTTATACACTAGAATTGCTCCTAGGGACAGAGACAGATAGTTAAGAGGGAGGAAGATTAACACCCCATCCACAGGACAGGCCATCCTGGACCATCTATCAAGTGGGCAGTTGGTCAAGATGAAAGTTTATGAATTTCAATTAGAAAATAAAATGGAAGAATAGAATTTTAAAAGGTATTGCTTTTTTGGCATGGAGAGATTGGAAAAAATATTTTGATAAGGGGCTTAAAGCTAAGGGTTTGATGCCCAAAGATCATGTTTGGCCAACAAGTTTCCTAAACTTCCTCAAGGGGCACAGCTGTCTGCCTTGCAACCACTTTTTTCTTGTTAGTCCTTTCTAAAGGAATCCTGATTATTTTCAGATGTCAACCTTTTCCCTCATTTGAACCAGGAGAAGGCCACGCATCCACTACCTCCAGAAGGGTATTCTAATTAGCCTAGGCCAAGAGTCAGCAAGCTGAAGCCCATGGACAAAACATGGCCAACCACTGCTGCCTGCAAACCAAGGATGGTTTTTACCTTTTTAATGGCTAGTAAAATAAACCAAAAGAAGAATAATGTGTCCCGATATATAAATTTATACAAAATTCTAATTTCTGTGACCATAACTTTTTTAACAGCTATATTCAGATATAATTCACATGCTGTACAATTCACCCATTTAAAGTATACAATTAAATAGCTTTCAATATATTCACAGGGCTGTACAACTATCACCACATCAATTTTAGAACATTTTCATTACCCCCAAAAGAGATCTCATGCCCTTAAGCCCTCAATCCCCTCAATCCCCCTAGTTCCTCAAGCTCTAGACAGTCAATAATCTATGTCTTCATAGATTTGTCTGTTCTGGGCATTTCATATACATAAAGTTTTATTGGAACACATCCACGCTCATTTACATATTGTCTATAGCTGCTTTTGCACTATAGCGACAGAGTTGAATTGTTGTGACAGAAACCATATGTCTTACAAAGCCTAAATTATTTACTATCTGCTCCTTTACAGGGAAAGTTTGCAGAGCCTTGGTCTAAGCCAATTAGAGTCTGGCATTCCTTTAGAGTCTGTTTTTGGGCGAGGGATGAGCATGTGAGCATTGCTGACCCAATCAGACATGAAGAAAAAACATTTCCTCTTTCCATGAAATAGGTTTCTCTTTCCTGGGCATTGCAGGGTGTGACTCAGCTGCTATTGAAAGACAACTAGGCACTGTGAGTGGACAGTCTGAGAACAACAGTGAAGATGACAGAGCCAGTAAAGAGAAAGCAGTTCAGCACTCCATTACTGAATCAGCGGATCCTGAAATCCATTCACACTTCTGGAGTTCCTGTCACATGAAATATCCTCATTATTTAAGGCAATATGAAGTAGAGTCTCTGTTACCCACAGCCAAAAGCAATATACCAGATACAGCTTCTTGCTAAAGAGGGTGGTTGAATAACATGCCGATTTGAACCAAAGTTGAATTTTCCTAGACAATGAAAGAGAGGCTAAGCGCAGAGGCCATGAGATGACTTCTTGATCTGTTCTTTCCCTATGCATTGTTCTACCTCTGTAGGCAACTGGCAATGTTCCAAGGGGATTATTTTAAAGGAATACCAACTTATTGGCCTGCCCACTCCTCTGTATGTCCCTGGTTTTTCAAGTAGCCTGCTCAATTTTGAGATATGGCTCTTAATCCCATTTATAAATAAATAAGTGAATAAAATAAATAAAAGTTGAATTGCTCTGTTTAAAGTAGGAACATTATGTTTTTGATGGTGGTAGGCAGAATCTGATCTATAGCTTACATTTCCCCTGGTGCTTGGGAAAGCCATTGTCTGTTTAAGAGAATGAGTAATAGAAAATGTAAAGATATATTTTTCTTTCCTTCCATTCTTCCTTTCTGTAGTGGGCATCCATTAAGAAGTTAAGAGATTTTGTTATTTTTAATTGGGCCTGCTGTGGTGGTGCTATTTCAGGTATTTCTTTCAGAATTGGCTTTTAGAAGTAGACCCTTTTTGAAATTTGGTTCTTCAATGTTACTGCCTGTGTGATTTGGCCAACTAACCACTTGGAGCATCAGGTTATATATCTATACAAACGAAGGCTGATTTGGTAGAATCTGATGTTATGTGGGGCTAAGCATATAATCCGTATGTCATAAGAAAATCTCGAACAGTTAAAATTACCTTTAAAAACCTTTTAATTTAATCATGGAAAATGGGCATTTTCTCACCTGCCTTTTCCCATGCTGAACAAAAATATATGTGTTTTTTTGTTTAACCCATGAAAGTCCCAGTGAAGTAAGATACTTTCATCAGAAAAATACCAGGGGGTCCAAGACCAACTCTAGTAGCACCCTATGGACTTCTTTCACTCACACTGACTCCTGGACATGTAGAGGGTGAGCTGAAGAGTGACATTTAAAAGGCAACTATTTAAATTCCCCAGTTGTTCTCTCTGACTCTCAATCTTTCAAGTTTGCCAAATAAGCAGAGCTCGGTTTTGTTAGTTAAATCCCTGTATGTGACCCCACTGAACTTACCAATTTGGATGTCTAGTTTTAAGTCTAATAAAATACTCCAATGTAAATATAAGGAGATACTCATTGAAAATATAAGGAGATAAAGAAAACATTATCTTTATCTGCCCAGTGCGGGGTAGGTGTGTGTATGTTATTGAGCAAATTTCTAGACACACTAGATTTTGCTGTTTCTGTGAATCTGCATTATCCTTTGTCTGTGACAGTGTCTCCAGTAAGTTGGTTGCTGGTAATTGTCCTTCTAATAGGGGTCTCTTGCATCCTTTACGATGGAATCTCAGACACGTCATCGAGCAGTGGAAGCGAGATTATTTTTAGAGGATGAGCATACTCATCACCCTACACAAAATCAATCTGCTTGCTTTTATAGAAAGCTTGGACTTTAAGAGAGCTTGAGATTCTGGGTAGTTTTTCATTTCAGTCTCTTTTATATTTTTAAAAGAATATTGAACTGTTTCCACGGTGACATTTCATAGTCACAGAGTCTGGAGGAAAAAAAAAAATGCCTTAGTAGCAAAGCTGGAGAAGCAACGGATTTCTCCATAAATCACCAGGAATTTTGATGGTGTTGTCAAGCTTCCAGGCACCGCCTACTCTGAGGCCTAAGGACAGTAACCTAACAGACCAGGAGACAAAAGCCCCAGGGAACTTTTTTGACTTAGAAAAGCTGGGCAGTAATAGCAAATTATTCATATTTTTGAATAATCTTAAAATTGTACTCCTTTCTTCCATTTATTTTTCTTAAAGCTGGGAGAGATATTACTTGTGAGCCTTGATATTTTAATTTCTGACCCTAGAACAGACAGAAAAAATAAATGAGAAAACAAAGAAAACATGAATTTAAAAGTATTATGTTCCCATTCCCCAAACACACACACAAATATGATTCATCAGTTCAGGTTAGGATGTGTGAGATGGTCAAGGCATGACTTAAATCCCAGATTCTTATCCTAGCTGTAACAAAAACTGGCAGTAACCTTGGGGAAAAGAAGAGCTTATCTCTCTATCTATATACCCATGTGTGAAACAAGTAGCTTGGAATAACCTCTGTTACAAAAATTTCATTTTGTTTTGAAAAATTGTTCCAGGAAAGGATATTCTGTTCCATTTCATAGCTAAATGTCTTAGTCTGTTTTCTGTTGCTCATAACAGAATACCTGAAACTGAGAAATTTATTAAGGAAAGGAATATATTTCTTATAGAAACTGAGAAGCCCACATCTGGTGAGGGCCTTCTTGCTACTGGAGACTGCAGAATCCTGAAGGGGGCTAAGGTATCACGTGGCAAGGAGGCTGATCATGCTGGTTCAGGCTCTCTTCCTCATCTTATAAAGCTACCAGTCCCACCCCCAAGATAGCCATTGATCCATTAACCCACTAATCCTTTAATCCCTGAATTGATTAACCCATTCACGAGGGCAGAGTCCTCATGACCCAATCACCTCTTAAAGACCCCATCTCTCAATACTGCCACATCGGGGATTAAATTTCAACATGAGTTTTGGAGCGGAAAAATATTCAAATCACAGCACTAAATAACTTTAGGAAAACCTGTTTATTCTTACTCCCACTATGGGATCACTTTCCCATTACTATATTATAGGTTCCAAGAAGATCCATGATGGGGTAAAATAAAACAAAATATTTCTTGAATTTATTTGAAGAAAAACTATATAATACATATGATATAAAATATATATAATATATACTTATTAAATATATATTTATAGTATAATATATAAATATATAACACTAATCATATAAATATATATAATGTATATAAATAAAAATATACACACATATATTTATCCCTCCTCTGGTTCACATCTTAACCAAATGTAGAACTGTTTCTTATGGGGCATAGTTTGACAAACCCTAGATTGAAATGATAATTAAAGACCTTGGTGGTTTTTAAATATTGGCATTTTATGACTTAGTAACACTCCATTAAGCAGTACATCAAGCCAATTACCATACTGTGATAACTGATGTGCATAATGATGACCAGCACGTTTTTAAGATCCTGAAGGGCAGTCTGAGCCAATGAAGAAAGATTGAATTTATGTTCCGATGGCTAAGGACTGAGTGCCTTTTTATATCTGGATATTTCACATATTAGTAGCTTCAGAGATATAGTGTTTATGTGTAGTCTTAATGTATACTACTGAAAGATGAATGTTTTAAACTGTATATATTTGTGGCTTCACACACACATCCATATTTCAGGTCTAAATAGAGCTCTGTTGAAGGGGAAAAAGCAACTGGAGCTCAAAATTCTTCTGGTAAGTTTTTATAGAGGGTTCTGATAAGAGGCATTTTGTTATATGAAAAGCGCATGGGCTTGGCAATCAGACAGATACGTAACTAGCAGGCTGAGGTCTGTGAGTTATCTCTCTGAACTTTAGTTTCCCATCTGTTAGATAGGGGAAAAAATTAACCACCTCTAGATGCTAAATAGAGAATGAAAAGCATCTAGCACATAGGAAGAATTCAACACAAAGTTTAGGTAGATTT